CCAGTCTAGCAGATTTAAATTAAAAGCTGGGATATAATTAAATAAATGAAACTAACCAAATAATCTGGTTGAGAAAACAACTTAACTTTCATCTTTGGGTGAGTAAAAGGAGAAATCCAATTACCTGTTTCCCTGCATGGTGCCAGGTTGAATATGGATTCCATCAGCTCAAATATAGTACAGAGTCAGTCTTGGACAGAAATAGCTGCCAGGAAGTCCAGGTAGGGAGCATGTGGCAAAGACTTCTTGGCAGTTCTTTCCCACAAGACCTGTGACAGCATTCTCCCCTATCGCCATCCAGAATGGATTGACAACGTGTACCTGCCCACGAATCGCTCCCGGATGCAGGAAGCTCACAGGTACATCACTAACAGATTGAAGACATTGAAGATCCCTTTTCTCAATCGTGGCTCTGGCCTCTATATCTGGGTCAACTTGAAAGAGGTGAGCTCTGGAAGTGAGGACAGGTGTCCTTGGGCAGACCTGCCTGATAGGTCTTGGGCTCAGCTCTGTCCCTCTGCCTTCCCTAGTACCTGGACCCATGCACATTTGAGGAAGAGCAGCTCCTTTATCGCCGCTTCCTGGACAACAAGCTCCTATTGGCCCCTGGCAAGGCCTACATGTGTAAGGAGCCTGGCTGGTTCCGCCTCACCTTTACGGATAAGCCCCTCCGCCTGAAAGTCGGTGAGTGGTGCTGATATTCCAATCCTGGTGTCTTCCACTCCTGTAGTCCAATAGCTGAGTAGCGATGGCTACAGCTTATCTATACCATAGATGGTTTGCACTTTCATACTTTGATTAAGTTCCTTTGCAAACAGGGATTACATGACCTGCCTGGGATTACATTGAGCAGGGCACTAATCAGAAGTGGTCCTCTGCCCTGTGGGGCTTGAGTTAGTAGGTGAGATAGACAGGTAGATGATCGTGGATGTCCCTGGATGTTATTCTATAGAGTCAGATTCTCCTCTGAAAGTTATGAGAACATGACATTCATTTAACAATGATGTGTTGCATTCCACCACATGCTGGACACTGTTCTACCTGCTGGGAATCGAGCAGTGAAGAAAGAGCGTTTATGTTATAAAAATAAATTTTGAGCTACCGAGAAGAACAGACCGAGTGAAGGGACACTAGAGGCAATAGAAACCGTGATGAGTCCAAGTCTATCGCCAGGTTATAGGATTTTATATGAGACCCAAAGGTGTCTGGCAAGTTGATGCTGTGACAATGAAGCTGAAAAAAACCATTAGGGATGTGGTGGGTAGACTTGGAAATGCATCCCAAAGAAGAGCAGGCTGAAGTTCAACATCCCTGAATGAGAAGCTCCATGATGGTCTACCATTACCTGGGAACCTACTAAGTCTTTCTTTCTCTTTGTCTCCATTTGGATCCTCCAGCCATGAACCGGTTCTCGCAGGCACTATTGGAGCAGAAGCAGTATTGTGTAGAGAAGCAAATGAAGTGCTTACCTGGGGAATAAATGGTCCACCCTTCACCCCAGCCCCCCGCCCCGCTCCCACCCCCTAACCAGAAGCTCCAGCAATCACATGCTTAGAATGTCCCTGACATCAGCCTCTGGTATAGTATTGACTTGCTACTGTGACAGAGCAAACAGTGGGGCTCCAGGAATGAGCTCATCTGACCCCATCCTCCTCCTTCCACTGAGCATCTGTCATTTCTGGGAGCTTTGAAATATTTAATCTTTGTTAGTGGGTTTTTGTTTTGTTTTGTTTTTTTGTTAGTGGTTTTGTGGTGTGAAATGATTTTAGGAGATTTTGGTGGGAAAGCCTATGGGAATAAAGAGAGCTTTGGATGGGTTTTGTTTTGTATCCTATATCGAATAAATTCTATATTCTTCTAAAGTCCAGATTATGTCTTTAATATCCAGTGTGTCCCAATTCAGACTACCTATATTGCAAGTGCTCAATAGCCACATGTGTCTAGCAACTTCCGTATTGGGCAGTGCATCTGTATGGGATGGAGGAGAAAGGGAAAGGCTCAAGTTGTAAACGAGAGGTTGACTCCCTTTCTTCTTGTCCCAGTGCCCAAGGAATTGGTCTTTCCTTGACATTGTGTGTGTGAGGCCCTGGGAGTCACTAATCCAGCACCTGCTCAGGGTGGGATGGTCTAGAAATGGCCACATTTTCCAAAGTGTGAGGTTGAATCAAATCTCCAGGATGACAGTGGCCTGAGTCCCTCCAGAAGTTAGAGCCAAGACCAGGGTGACACCCAATTCCAGAACTTCTTCTTTCACCCCAGGGAGGAGCTGGGTAACACGGACTCCCATCACTGCCTCTGCAAATGCCCCCTCCAGTGTTTTTTTTTTTTTTTAGGTGTCAGTGTTGAATAAAGAGCACTCTACTAAAAGTCAGACATTTTTTTCTCAGCTAGCTCTGTGACCTTGGCTGAGTCACCTCACTTTTTTAACCTCAGCTTCCTCATCAGCAAAACAGGCATGAGAATACTGTCCCCGTGAGCCTCTCTCACAGCTTCTTTGATGAGGAGACCAACCCTTGGCTTTAGTGGGGATTGTAATACTGGCCGTGTGGGCATCTGGAAGGATTCAGTGTGAGACTGTGTGGTTGGAGAGAAACCAAGGAAGCATCAGGCAGGGGCTCCACGGGTTAGCACCTCAGCTTTCTCACTGGCAGTTCAGGTCCTCGGACAAGCAGACATTGAAATGCCTCACACCTGTGCCCACAAGGCTCCTCCTTCTAGGTCAGTGGTTCTCAACCTTGGCTGCACATTAGAATCACCTGGGAATCTTTTTAAAATCCTGATTTCTGGGCCGCATCCTCCGGAAATTCTGTTTCTGTGTTATAGGGTGGGGCCACAACATTAGTAACAAAGAAACAGAATTGCTGGAGGATGAGGCCCAGAAATCAGGATTTTAAAAAGATTCCTAGGTGATTCTAATGTGCAGCCAAGGTTGAGAACCACTATTCTAGGTGAATTAACCTCCTCCTATTTGAGGAAACAGCTGGGGAAAATAGCGGGCAGGAGCAGGAGGAGGCGGAAGGGCCCGCAGGGCCCGCAGGCCTTGGCCCTGGCCAAGAAAAGAGAAGCAAGGGGTTGGGCAGAAAGAGCCCTGCACTGCAGCCCATTCCTAAGTGGCTCAGCTAGGCCCATGGATTCCTTGGGCCTAAGGAGCTGATGGGGGAGGAAGAGGTGTCCTGGGAGCAGCCAGGGAAGCAGGACGCTGCTCAGGGAGATGCCATGCTGGACCCAGGGGACAGGGTCTGGGTCTGGAAAGAATTGGAACAAGGGGATCAAATTTATATTTGTTATTTCACATAATCCTCTCAACCCCTGTTCCCTCGTGTCTCTTCATACATGAGACATTGACCCCGGAGATAGTTAATAACCTACAGCCACACGGTTTGTAATTTGCTGAGATGGGCCTTAAACTGTGCCTTGAACCTCAGGTGCTTGACAACAGCTCCATACAGAGCACACTGCCCACCCCATACCCCACACAGAAAGAGAGACTTCTCGGGACCATTGCCATCAGATCCAGAAAAGAAGCAGATGAGCTCAGTGCCCGCCAAAGCCAGACAGTGCTGTCCTCAGGGAGCCAGGCCCCAGGCACCCTCTGCTGCCGTCTCCTGCACGTTCTCCCCAGCACACCCAGGCCCAGGTCGCCTGGCCTTTATCCCAGGACCAGGGCTTGAAGGGGGCCCTGGGCTCTGAAGTGTCGGTGACAAGCAGAGATAGTGTCCATGGAAATGAAACAAAACCCTTTTCATTGTGCCCAGTCAGTGTTGCTTAGTGGTTACGCATCAATCTATGAACCAGGAGATCACATGCCCAGTTAGGGCACATGCCCAGGTTGTGGGCTCAATACCCAGGGTGGGGGGTGCAGGAGGCAGCCGATTGATGATTCTCATCATTGATGTTTCTCTCTCTCTCCCTTCCTCTCTGAAATCAATAAAAATATATTTAATAAAAGAACAACCAAACCTTCTTTTCGTGTCCTAAGCACTATACTGAGTCCTGGGTGGGAGGACAGGGTGGTTGGAACCAGCTCCTCTGGGGCAGAAGAAGCAGGAAGACCCTGGGGAAAGCAAACAGAAAGAGCCCAGAAAAGACTGACTGAACGGAGCCTCGGGTCTGGAAGGAGAACAGGTTACTCATATTTGAAGACGTACTGAAGGCTGGCAGCAGACTAAGTGCTGGAAGGAAGGAGCTGCTCCATCAAAAGAACTCCAGGCAGAGGGAAGAGATGGAGGAGCCAAAGCAAAGGAATTGGGGAGGTGGGCGGGGGGGGGTGAAGGGAGCAGTGAGCACCCTTGGTGGTGGGCTCTAAATGAGCTTTCTCTGGAAGAACCCCTCTACCTTAGAATATGACTCTGGATCTTTGGGGACATCTGATAAAAGCCATGGATCTTCTCATCCCTTTTATACCACATGTACATGCAGATAGAATATGGGGTGGGATGAGAGGTCCATCCACAGGCCCTTGAAACAGTGGGGTTTTTTTGTTTTCTTTGTAACAGTGGTTCTTAATGAGTGATGCTCATCCCCTGCGTCAGTGGGGCAGAGGTGGAACTTGGCATTGATGGGGGGTGGGGCTTCCCAGGCGACTCTGATGTGGCCCTGGTTGAGAATGTTATCCTGCAGCTCCACAGACTTCAGGTGAAGACCTTGGGCTTTCTAGGAGCAATGGGGATCTATTGTAGCAATAACAAGCGAAACCAAGCCAGAAACACCTCTCCCATTGCCCAGGGTGTCCTGAGTGGCTTGTGAACCCCAGCCATCCCCATAAGGCAGTTAATCTCACATAGCAGCTCTGGAAGACCTGTCCTGTCTTCCCTTCATGCTCAGGATAAAAGCCAAAGTGCTTATCAAGCTTCATCACACCTTGTGTGGTCCTTTCCTCAAATACAGCAAATACATGCTGCCACCTCAGGGCCTTTGCACTTGCTGTTCTTTGCCTGGAACACTATTCCCAGAGGTCCACATGCTTTGCTCCTTCCCTTCCTGGGGGTCTTTTTTTCTAACTACCCTATCTCTATAGCCTTCTCTCTTGGTCTCAATCCCCTATCAGCATGGGTTTTCTTCACAGAACGTATCCAACTCCATTTATTTATATATGCTGTCCTTTTTCAATCACCTGTTTCCCCATGTCACACGCAAACAAGGAAACCAAAAGTAGCTACAGTACTTGACACCTACTTTATGCTCAGTTCCCAAGGCTAAAGAGAGGTACAAGCACACAGGTGTTCTCTCTCTGGGAGGTCTTTGCAATGTAGTTAGGTACCAGTGCCCAGGTCAGAGCACATGCAGGTGGGCAACTAGCAGCTTAGAACCTTTAAGGAGAGTCCAGGGTTTGCATCTGAGTTGAGTTAGAATGGGGTTGTATTGCCTGAGCCCAGCCCGGTGCCCAGTACTTTATTGGACATGGTACTTGCAGAAGACACACTGGCGGCTCTAGGAGGGGTTCTGGGCCTTCCCAGGCCTTCCCTTCCACTCTCACCCTGGCTTCTGAGTCCTGAGCTGTAGCTGCCCTGAGTTTCCTGAGCCAAGAAGGAAAGTTAGGATTCAGCGACCCCTTTTGGCAAATCCATGGGACAGCGCTGTGCTGGGAGGGGGGCCCCACTGCTAGGAGAGAGCATCAGCTGAGGGAGTGGTGGGAAATGCAGGAGGTTGAGGGACATGAGGGTTTTCCTCTGGGAAAATCTTCATTCCACCATCAACATTCACCTGGAGCTACGACTAATCAATTCCTCCATTCCCGTCATCCCTCACTAATTGGTTAGTTACCAATAATCATCAACAAACCCTAACCAAGAACCCCCTCTGTGCCTTGGAACAATGGCAGAAGCTGAGAAACCTGTAGTCCAGAAGGGGACCCAGTCTTCGGATCATCACATTATAGTATCATTCATCCATTCATTCATTTGTTCATTTGTAAATGTTACTGAGCTCCCCAATAGCCATTATGGTTCTTTGCATGTGAGATAACAGCAATAAACAAAACCATCTGAGACCCTTGCTCTCATGGAGTTTAGAAAGGGAAACTGAAAAGAAACTGTAACATAATAAATAACTAAAGTTGCGGTAAGTTTGAAGAGGGGAAAGGTTATAAAAAAACGAAAGGTAGAACGGGCGGGGGAACTGCTGTGTGGGAGGTGGAGTAGCGTGTGGAATTGCCTGGGTGGTCAGAGGAGAAGGTGATCTGAGGAAAGACTTGAAGGAGGAGAGGGAGTGAGCCAGGCAGGTGTCTGGGAGCAGAGCAGTGTGGGCGTTGCAGCCCAGCTAGAGCAGAGGCCGAGCCCTCCCACCTAGCCTGCTCTGTACTGGCGGCAGTTTCACAGCGCAGCCTCCTGGGCCCAGTGATGACCCCCCGACTCAGACCCTGAGTGGAGCCCAGGACCTGCCTGTTAAACAAGCACCCACTGAAGTTGGAGAACAGTTACAAGGCAGGGTATTTCCAGACCACAGGCTGCTTCGGGTCTCGCTTCTGTTTGTCAGGCTCCAGGGAAGGAAGGACAGGAGCTGACCAGGGTGACACAGACTCAGTCATGGGGCAGTCCTACCTGTCATTTTGGCTTGTCCTCCCATTTAGCCTTCACAGCACCCTATGTGAGCTGGGTGTCATGGCCTCCCCCATCTCACAAGGAGAGACTGAGGACCTGCAGGCTGGGGAGGTTTGCCAAGGACATAGAGCCAGTAGGGCTGGGGGTTGGGACCGACCCTCCTGGCGATCACTCCAGTGCCTCCTTGTCAAGTTGTCCCTCTGCCCTAGGCTCACCATTTCAGATTGCTCTCAATCTCTGTCTTTTCAGAGACAGAGAAAGTTAGTAGCTCATTTGTGATTTCAGTGAGATTCACTTGGTCCAGTGGTTCTCAAAGCTTGGTAGGTATTCAAAGCACCTGGTGATGTTGAGCTACTTCCCTGGCCCTGGCCCTGGCCCTGGCCCTAGCCTACCTCCAACTGCCTGTAGGGTTGCCTTAGCTCTCCAGGTGGTGCCAATGCCACCAAAGTTTGAGAACCACAGCTTAGGTGATAGGGAGCTCCTGGAGAGATCCCCTCGAAAGGGAAAAGGTGGATCTCATTGTTGCCCTGAATAGCTCGTTCTTCTTAAAAGCAGAGCTGCTGGCCCAACACAGGAACCAAGCTTAGTGAGAGGAGGAGGATCCTGGAGCAGTGCCTGAGTCCTGGTCGTCAAGGTTGATTTCTTCAGGCGTAAGGATTTGGGACCAAAGAAGAGATGAGTGGAAACAGAGACCCACGTAAGTCTTGGTGGCAGGGTTGGGAGAGCCATGGGATGTGGAGCGAGAGGGTGGCTTTGGACCAGACACTACCTGGGGCTTCCTGGACCCCCTCCGGCCAGTGGGGTTGGGCAGCAATGGACTTATTGGGCTTATGCATCCCAAGGAGTGAATGCCAAGCCTTGAATGCATGTGCATCCTTCCAGAAAGAAGCCTTGGGGAGGGATTTTTAAAAGGGCGGTGGGGTCTGAGGGTAGTGGACTTCGTTTTAAAGCTCCCCTGTCCCAAACTTGTGTTACCTCCTGCTTTTGGGCCTCAGGTTTCTCATCTGTAAAGTGAGGCTAATGGAGGTGCTCTCCTCATAGAGTCTTGTTGAGGATTTAATCACGCGTGTGTGTACAAAGACCTTAGACCAGAGCCTGCCATTGATGATAATGTGTTTTCAGAGGGTTCCGTGTCCCCCAAAGTAACCTATACCATTCATTCTCATCCTGGATATATTGGGCAACCTCGTTAAATTCAAAGGACTGTAATAAATTATGTACTTAATTACTCTATCTGAAAGTTGGGGGGAATTCTGACCTCCCAACATTTAGGACTAAATGAAAACAAAGCTGCTGTTAGCGGGGCAGTCGTTAGGCTCACCAATTAGGTAAATGACCCAGATTGAAAATGGGGATCTAGCATTTACTATTAAACTCTGTCTGGCATATACGTGCCACATAGGTGTAGCTACGTTACAATAAAACTGTAATTGCAGAAACATGAGGTGGGCCCCTAGCTTATAACCATACCAGTTTATCTTCTAAATCAGTGGTTCTCAACCTTGGCTGCACATTAGAATCACCTGGGAATCTTCTTAAAATCCTGATTTCTGGGCCTCATCCTCCGGAAATTCTGTTTCTTTGTTACTAATGTTGTGGCTCCAGCCCATAACAAAGAAACAGAATTTCCAGAGGATGAGGCCCAGAAATCAGGATTTTAAAACGATTCCCATTTGATTCTAATGTGCAGCCAAGGTTGAGAACCACTGTTCTACATCATCTGTTAATTCTGTCTTCCAAGAAGACAGTAACAATCTGCAGAAAACAACAACCAAATTCCCAATCTCTAACCCTGATTTATTTCCTTGTCTAATGTTCTTGGCTGAGACTTCTGGTGCAATGTACAATTTTGAACACTGACAATGAATGAATGGCCTAATAATTCATTTAGAAGTTCAAACTCTTCAGATTTCCCCAATTAAGTAGGAAGCTGGTGTTTTGGCTGAGACTGTCTTAGGTTAAAGAGGTATCCATTCATCTTAATAAGTTTTCTAAGTCAAGAATCAGTGTCTAATTTTGTCAAATGTCTTTTTAGCATCTATAGGTGAAATGATTTTTATCTTTTTAGGATTTTTTAATGAAGTTAATATAAATGTAGAATTGAACTACCCTTCCATTCTCAATTAACCCCACAAGGTTATCTTATCATGCTGTTGGATTTGTTTTAAGTGCTATTCAGCTTTTAAGTATTGATAATGTAATCACATGTGAGATTCATTCATAGTTCTTCATTTACACTTCATTAAATTTGATGTCACTTTTTTATAGTAAAACTAGAGGCCCACTGCACGGAATTTATGCATGGGTAGGGTCCCTAGGCCTGGCTGGTGATCAGGGCCGATCGGGCTTCCTTCCCCCAGCTGCCAGCTGCTGACCATGGCTTTCTTTCACTCTGTGCCACCCACTGGTGGTCAGCGCACATCATAGCGAGCAGTCGAACTCCCGAGTAGACAATTTGCATATTAGCCTTTTATTATATAGGTTGTGGGTTCTTTTCCTTTCCTCTAGCACAGTGTAAATAGTATTGGAACGATATATTTTAAATACGTGCTAGAATTCCGCTTGCAGGCCTGCACCTGAAGATCAGGAGAGTCTATATTGCTGCAGTACGTGGTTTCCTTCTTTCTCTGCAGGTCCAGGCCAGCCTCCTAAGGCCAAAACTAAATGCCAGAATGTGAGTCACCAATCAGACACCCTTCACAGGCCCCACCCCCGGGTGATGCAAGTGATCCAGCGTCTGCAGAAGATCATAAATGATTACATCCTGCAGCTGGAGAGCAGGCACCAGCAGGAGGACCTGGAGCAGGAGAAGCAACAGCACAGCCAGAACATCAGGGACCAGGAAGCCATCCTCGTCCATTTAATGTGTGAGGTGGTCAACCTCTTACACTCTGGAGCCTCAAGTAGCCTGGAGCTCCAACTGCCTCGCCTTCCCCTGGACTCAAGGGGCGGTGCTGGAGGTGGTCAGCAGGCCCAGTCATCCAGGGAGCCTGACCAGCTAAGTCACCAACTGAGTGATTCGGAAACTGCATTTATCAGCTGTTATCTATCCAACCGTGGGATTGACGTCTCTGCCTTATACCAGTCCAACTTCCAGGACTTCATAGCCTACCAAGGAGACAAAAACCATGAGGATAAGAACACCTTGGTGAGGATGTGGGTGGTGGGAAGGGCACACTAGAGAGGCCCAGTCACTAGGATTTACTGAGTCCTGTGCCAAGTACTGTGTTCTCTCACTTACTCTTCCCGGGCTTATGAAGCAGGTGGTATTTTCTCCTTATGGATAAGGGAATGGGCACAAAATAGAGTGACATGCCCAAGAAAGGTGAAGGGGCTGAGACTGGGTTCCTTTCTTCCCCTCTGCTTGCCCTAATCCCTGCTCTTACCTTCTAGGAGTCACTGTGGTCACAGTAGAAGTGGGCCTGTTCCCATGGGACCCAGTCTAGAAATGATAGTCATTAGCCATGAGGATACAAAGATTAATAACGTTTCAAAGAGCACTAAGGGGATACCAAGTTTGGGTGGTCTAGGAAGGTGTCTTAAAGACAGAATCAGCCAGAGGTAGTGGGATGTGGGGACCTCTGGGGTCCTTCAACAACACGTGTGAAGCTTTAGGTGGAAAGGGCTTGGAGTGAATGGAAAAGGAGGCCCATGTGGATAGAGTAGGGGCAATGAGGCCTGTGACAAGAAGTGTGGACAGGGGTAGGATATTATCCTAAAGGTGACAGGGAGTGAATGAAAGGCTTCCAACAAGGGATGTTCACAACAGCTCTCCAGTCAGAGAGTAGAGGACAGCACGAGTATATCATCTCTCTGCGTCTAGCTGAGTGACATATGTTCAGTGGCCATGTGCTTTTCTGGGGGCCAAGTGAGTCAGGTACCTCCTTGGACTCTGAGGAACTGTAGCTCCTCTAATAACTTGAAAGGCCTGCACATGGAAATGGGAATAACAAGACATGAGTAGCTCTAAAGGGGGATATTGCAAGCTGTATGATTTTGGGGCTGTGAATTGCCTCATGGGACAGTGAGCTCTCCCCTTTGGAAATCATTCGGGAAGGGTACTTTTTGACATGTTTAAAGGGTTCCTCTAGGCTGGGCAGGAGGACTGACCTCAGATTCCTCCCATCTGCAGGGCTTCATTAACCTTGGCCTCAGTGAGAACAAACTCTGCATTGATCTGCTGACTGAAAGGGTAAGCCAAGTTCGGGGCTTGCTGGGGCCCATATTCAGGCCCAGTCCCCCTAGCGTGTGGTTGCTACAGGAGTGGGAGTTAGGCGACTGGGAAAGGGAGTGGGGATATGGCTTCTAGAATAGCGTGTGTCATCTCCTGGATTTTCTGACTGTTCAGAGGTATTCTTTGGATGGGTATATTTTGGGTAGACTGACAAGGGAGCCTCTGGCCCAAGTGTATGGTTGGGGAGGCTGTTAATTAAGCAGTTCTTAGTAAGTTATCCATGGTGTGATCTGATAAGAAGGTCAGGGCCTCCCTTCATTCAGGAGCATGCAGCACGTGTCTCCATTGCCCTCTGGGAGGCCCTGTGTTGTAGGGCAAATGCCCACCTGCATCCTAGGAGTAGGATGAAGACTGTGGGGACTGTGGGGCTTCCCTGGTCTGGCTGTCCTCATGCTTTATTTGTCAACAGTTGAGTCGGAGTGACATGAACTACATTGATGATGACCTTCTGCAATATCCTGATTGGAGTGGACATGCATTGTAAGTAACTTCCCGATCCATGGCCTCCTAGTCCACAGGCACCGTTCTCAGGCAGGGAAGAACTCAAAGTATCAGATTCTTGGTTGGCTACCTCTGTTTCTTTCAGTGAAACCTCTAGAAAATGTCTAGAACACAATTTAGGAGGCAGCCCGGTAAAATAAAAATAGCCCAAGCTCTCACACTAATTGTCTGTCACCTCGGGAATCAATAATCTCGGCCAGTAACCCTGTAACATGAGGCCAGACGCCTTGCTCTTTGGAAAAGACTGAAGACTTGCCAAAACCGGTTTGGCTCAGTGGATAGAGCGTCGGCCTGCGGACTGAAGGGTCCCGGGTTCGGTTCCGGTCAAGGGCACATGCCCGGGTTGTGGGCTCGATCCCCAGTAGGGGGCGTGCAGGAGGCAGCCGGTCGATGATTCTCTCTCATTATGGATGTTTCTCTCTCCCTGTCCCGTACGGGGAGCCCGCGGGCAGAGGAGCCCGGGCTGCGACCGCCCCCACCCCCCCAGGAGCCATGGGGGGTCTGCCAGCCTCACCCCCAGGGG